CGGCTCTTGCGTCTGGAGACAAGAATTCGAGCGAAGAGCAGCCGGAAAAGGTTTGAAGAACTTGATTGCTGGTTATGGAATTCGTTGGAATATAAAATATGAAAGTCGAACTCGTGCCTATGATGCCAGAGATGTATGTTATTTATTTTTTTCTACCAGATACATTTACTAATATATCTGGTGTAGGTCATCGATTCAATACTACTTGCTGAGTATGAAAAATATCAAGATCAAAGAGCCAAATCTAGCCGCAAGGAAAATCCCAAGTAGAGATGGCGCTCGATACCCAGGTACCTGTAGCGGGTGCGGGTACCTGCCTCAAAAATCCAATATTTTTGACACCCGCACCCGCACCCGCACCTGCTAGGGCCGCCAGGGGCGGGGTACCCGGGTACCTGCACCGGGTACCTGCGGGTACCTGGCACATTTTTGCAGGCAAATATACCCAGAAATCTCACCCTTGAATTTCTGCATGACTTACCAAATGTATGATTGATATTCACTAGATATATGAGTAAGAACATAAAAATAAAGAAATAAAGAAGAACAAAATATCCTATCACTAATTTGCACTTTATCTTCTCTCTGATCTATCATCTTGAAGGCTGGAGGGTTCCCTCTGGCCTAAACAGGCCCATGTAGGACACCAAATGGTGTCCTACATAGTTTGCTGACACCTTTGTGCAGCCCAAAAAGCCCAAAACTTTATTCCCAGGGCGGGTGTCAGGGCGGGTGTCAAGGCGGGTACCCGGGTACCTGCCGTTTCTTGTCCCAAAACTCAACACCCGCACCCGCACCCAGCACCCGCGGGCGGGTACCCGCTCCGAAGAACAGGTACCTGCAAACGGGTACCGGGTACCCGCAAACGGGTACCCATTGCCATCTCTAATCCCAAGAAGCTCGGTCACTTCAAGGAGATTCAGTTCACAAGGAAGGAATGGGCGACAATTAATGAATTGAATAAAGAGTTAGAAGTAAGTAATTTGTGTAATATTAATATATTCAAATCCTAGTTACAATGCTGAATTTTATATTTCAGCCTTTTAACCTCCTGACTAAACTTATGGAGGGGGGGGGTTGATAACCGCACGCCAACCCCCATGGCGCACGCAATTTCGTACAGGATCTGTAGTCTTGCGAAAAATTAAGACCAAGATATCCGGATTTGACGAAGTACAGCCACAGATGCGTGACGATGACCCCCAACGTCGAGATCGACTATGACAATGCGCTCGAGTGTCAAGATCTACTAAGAGGT